GATATATCATCGCAGTTGTGAAATAAAGGAATAGTAATTGCGAAATCTATGTAAATTAGAAAAATCTAAAAATGGCCGATTACTGGAGTAATATACGATTATTGAGAGCAATTTGCTATAGCTTATTCTAATCCAGCTTTTGTCAAATAAAAATTCAATATATTGCACCAAATTCAATCTTTGTCTAAAAATCAGCTTCAGCATTGCATTCTATTAGTAAACCAATACGTTACCTGTTACCTTTCGTTTGGAAAGAGTTTTCCAAAAACTGTCGAAAAGCGCTTTCTGCGAGAATTTTTGTTCACGGTTCATTTCCCTTCCTTATCAAAATTGACGTCTTAGCGTGCCGTAAAAGGCAATTAAACTTTTGTGCCTTCATCCTACTGAAGAGGGTCTTCTCACTGTTGAAATGTACTTAGCCCTAACTTGCCATATTAGTGCTGTTGCTTACGTGATGATATGTTGATAGCGTGTGATAAAACAAGTGTTGAAAGCCGAATTTGTAAATGTTTTTGTTGTTTTCATTACGACATGTAAAATACACGCATACACTTATAAACAAAAAAGCTTGTCATTTTAAATTACGACAAAATATGTAGTAGGCAGATAGTAGGCTAACTGGAGGCTCCCAAGCATTAGCACAATTCAAATGCTCCCTGTATATAACTTTCAACGGGCAATTCCTACAAATAGTTTTTAAGAAGTTGGTGAATTTTCCTAACGACTCAAAGCTTATTAGTCTAATTATATAGGAATTACACTTTGTGCAAACTCTATATATGAACAACAGTATAAGCATAGCACAGTACATGATGCACAATTGGCCTTATTCCAATATTTGTTAAAACTTTCGAAAGGAACGTCGGAGTGGACGACCACATTACGCATGTTATGAGAAGAGACTGTGCTTTTAATTTAATATTCATTTATTATTGCATAGGTAGCTAGCAAACATCAAAAGTAAATAGCAAACAGAAAGGAAAGCCAAAAATGACAATTGACTTCCAGCTCATTTGAGTTAAATGATTTTGTGCGCCATGATGAGCTCAAATTCGTCTTCTATAGCTTAGTGACTTTAGTCCGTTCATTTCCGGCAGTACCACGAAAATCTGATCACATAAAAGTTTAGCCCTAAACAAGAACTTACTGAAACTTTCTGGTCTTTATTAAGTACATTTTTGCGCCTGTATGGATCAGATATAGATTGTATATACAGTAAGTATGTAAATTTTGTATGCTTCTAAAAGCAGTGACGCATTCCTAGTCGAAAATGCTCTGAATACATTATAAGTGGATCTTATTGCTCTGTACCCAGTAATGCTGAGTTTAAAGCAAAAAGCCTAGATAACTTT